ATTCAATGATACACAAATGCATGAATTCAATGATACGTGAATGCATTTCTGACAAGTGTTCATGATTATTGTTAAACCTTGAGATTTTACCTAATGGTTCAGCTAATAATAGGCACTATTTCAAAGATTTGGACTAAGGCCATATTCAGAATTTCTAATATTTATCTGAAATAAGTCTAAATCTTATTAGGCTGCTCATCTGACTCTCAAAGACGATAGTACAGTTCCAGAAATAGACACAGCTAAGCAGTCAATTCATATTCTCAAGACCTGGAACCTCTGTCTGCAGGCAGTGAGTGTGGGGAAAATGTGAGATAAAATGGGGAAGGTGGTATGACCTAGAGTGAAGGTTTTGATATTACTCATGGGCTTATTTGAAGAGAAGTGAAATATTATGGGCCATGTGATACTATCATATGCTGAGAGGTGCTACCCATGTTCACTTCCTTTAGTGGATGGCTTTCTAGGTGACAGATATTCTTATTGGAACTTCTTTTTGGAGAACTTTATGAATAACGAATTTGCCTGTTGGGGAAGAAAATTCTCTAAAGATGGTTAGCTGCTCACGGAGAGTCTATAGGAATGAATCGAAGTACCGTCATCTCTCGGTACCCATGGGGGATTGGTTCCAGGACTCCTCGGGGAGACCAAAATACACAGATGTTTAACTCCCTTATATAAAATTGTGTAATATTTACATATAACCTATGCACATCCTCCCATATCCTTTAAATCATCTCTAGATTACTTATACCTAATACAATGTAAATTCTGTGTAAATAGTTGTTATACTGTATTGTTTAGGGAATAATGACAAGAAAAAAAGTCTGTACATATTCAGTACAGCTACAGCCATCTATTTTTATAAAAAAATATTTTCCATCCATGGTTTGTTGAAACCACAGATGTGGAACCCACAGATACAGAAGGCTGACTATATACTGCCTTCATATGAGAATATCTTAACTAAAGAGACTTAGACTAATTTAACAACCTGGATTGAAAGTAATGTTGAAGTCGGATTAGGGTTTGCTATAGGGTTAATTAGGTGGGTTTTGTATCGTCGTTTAGAGGAGTACCTTTATTTCTAACTATGCACGTGTATATACTTACTCTCCTTCCCATTCCTTTGGCTTTGTAAACATTATGTATTAAACATAAGGAGATGTTGTTTGATATGTGAGGTCATGACTGGTAACATCTTTTCCTGTGGTTTGGAGTGCACAGATGCAATGTCCCATGCAACAAATGACTGTTCCCCTTCCCTCCCACTGGCCCTCATCCCACTCTGACCAGCAGTATACTACTTAGCATGTTATTAGTGACTCTTGAGGATTCTGGGGTTGACTTGGGATGCCTTAACTGGATCCTATGGGCCTGAGAGAATCTGCGGACCTTCTCAGATGACCTACAAATTTTGTATTTGTTTATCTTCCCCCACTCCAAAATGTGTTCATAAGGCTTTTATCAAACTTAGGTGACCCCAGCAAAGGTTTAGAGTAGCTTTGCCCTCCGAACTTAACTACCTATTCCACCAGTACCGATGGTGAGCATAAAAGGACCTGAGGGCCTATATCATATAGAGGAAAAGAATACTGGTTTAAAACAAAGGTTGGAATGCATATGACCTCAAGGGCTGCCCGGAATAGTTAAGCTGGGGAGTCTCCTAGGGTTAACTAATAGGGAGTCGCTGGCTGGTGGTGAACATGTCCTGCATACAGGCTTTTGGGAAAAAATTCAGGTTAAGCTGAAGCAGTGGTAGCTTTTGGTAGCTTCTGCTGTAACAGGGAGAAAAATGTGGCATCCTGGCTGGATTCTTGTGAAGTGATATGATGTATCTTAGCCAACTTTCCTTGTATACAGTGGGTGCTCAGCATGTGCAAATTCTTATTGTGCACTGCCCCTCCCCACATATGCCTGTGTCTGTATGCAGTACAGTTGCTTGTTTGGCTTTTCTTCAAAATTCAATGGAGAGGCTTTCTCTTGGTGGGTCTACCCGTAAAGTAACATGTATTGTATCTCTCCAGGGGACCCATTACCGTGGTGTACCTGGAGCTGTGCAAATTGGTGGACCTTCTCTCTCTCTCTGTCCAGTCTCTCCCTCTTTCTTTCCCTCTCTCCCTCCCTCAGTCCCTCCCTCCCTCTCTTCCTCTCTCTCTCCCTCCCTTCATCCTACTTCCCTTTCTCTCCCTTTCTCTTTCTTTCTTTTAATGGTCCTTTTTTCTCTTCGCTGTTGATTGTGTTCTGCAAGCATCAGACTTAAACCACTTGCATTTGTCAACGCATCTGTGGCCACCACTGCTCCCAGCACCCATCTCATCTGTTTTCATTTCTGTCTTATCACTGCTCACTCCTGTCACTTTTCATGTTTCTAAGGTTTTGCTAGAAAAGGTCTGGCCAGCACAGAGAAGAATTTCTCTCTATCCGAGGTGTGAAAGAGCTAATCACCTCTCTTTAGGGGCATGTTTTTCACAAGGGAACTTCTTCCAGCTTTATCCAGGTGCTGTCCCCTCAGCAGCATAAGTTGTATATGTGTTTGTGGTGCTGGGGTGGGGGTCGGGGTTGCTGTTTTGTTTTCTGCTTATTGTGTTTTTTTCAACTAATTATAGGTCAGGGTTCTCAACCTTGGTTCTACATTAGAATCATCTGGGCAGCTTCTGAAAATCCTGATGCCTCCGTTCCCTTCCAGAAGAATTAAATCAGACTGTCTGGGAGTGGGACCCCTTCAGTATTTTTTAAATTTCCTCAGGTGATTGATTTCAACATGCTGTCCAAGTTGATAACCACCAATCTAAGCTAAAATTCTAAAATGATGGAAGGCTGAATTTCAAGTCATGGAAATTTGATTTTATATTTACAAACAACAAACCTTCCTAATCAGCACATAGGTGCTTGTCCAGAACATACCCTATACAAAAAATATATACGTATGAAATAAACAAAACGTGGATTCACTTTTTTTTTGCTTTAACAATGTTAAAGAAACCTAAAGCATTATTAGTTGTTTCAAAAATTGATCCAAATATAACCATGTTAGAAAAAAATACATGTTCATTGTTGTGTTTCTCCCAAATTTCACACACAGTTCAGAGAGCATTTCTGCCTATATTTTTAGCTAAGCATAGAGCTCCTGGTCCGGGAGACACTGAGAATTTCAAAATAGCTTGTTACCTAAAAATATACTTCCTGAAATGAACTTGAGGCCCGAGAGGGATGAATGGCTTTATTTTTTTTTCTTCTATATTTACTGTTACCACAAGAAAGCAAATCTTAAATTTATATATCTTTATATTTTTAGAGACCCAGGAAACAGGTGCTATGCCCAAGCTACAAAGACAGTTGCAGGACAAAGTATCTAAGACAGAAACCTAAAATTCACAGGACAGAGAGTGACTGTGGAAGGGCATTGAAGTGTTCCTCTCTAGGCAAGAGCAGAGGGAACACGAGGCTTTGCTTAGGCCTTTCTAAGGGTTATGCCTTGGAAAAGTACCTCACAACTTTCTATGGCCCAGCAACTCCTCCAGTGCCCCATTTCGGTCTAAGTGCTTAATATTTATTAGTCTATCATGTAAGTATTAATTCATGTTTGCTGGTTAAGTGCCTAGTAGCCTTGTCATACTTCACTGCCTGTCGAATCTAATGTCTTTAATTAACATGATCACCATCTCATTGAGGAAGAAAATGGGGATTAGGGTGTTATACCTTTATTTAAACTGCCCCTAGCTTGCAGTGTGTATTTTGCAAAGAAGCGTCTGTCTTCCATATTTTATTGAATAAATGTGAATGAGTATCACATTTATAATCACACTCCTCTCTAATCTGAGTGCAGAAGCTCTATATCCTATCCTACTTGGTATCAAGGGCTCCTTGTATTCATCCTGTGTTCACTCATTTATCCAATAAACATTTTTTATACCTTCTATGTGACAGGTTCTCTTCTTGGTACTGGAGATATAGTAGGTAAATGAGGTGGACAAAGTCTCATGGAGCTTACATATTTGTGGATAGATTATTAGCAAGTATGTGATGTGGATGGTTTGTGCAGACAATAAAACAGAGTCCTGTGGTAGTTACTTGCAGGTTGCTGTGTAGCATGAAGAGGTGGCATTTGATCAGAGACCAGAAAAGTGACAGGAAGCTAAACAAAGGTAATAGCAAGTGAAAGGCCTGAGGAGGGAATGAACTTAGCTTCTTCCCAGAAAGGGGCAGGAAGCTGGCCATGGTGGTGGTAAGGGAGAGGTACAGAAGGCAGATCCTTAGGTGGATTCAGCTTTTATTTGCTGTGATCATACTCCAATGCCTCACCAATGCTTGGGATTATGTCTAGGAGGCACTCAGTAAGTGTTCGTTAATCAGCTGATTTCCCTCAAACACAGAGAGAAGTCAGTAGAACTAGTCCCTTGAAAAGAACACCCTTATAGCTCTTTCAGGAGTAGGTCAGGAAAATGGTGGTAAAGTCTTGTGCCTCCACCAACAGTTCCTCCTTTTGTGTGGCACTTCATGACTCTGTGAGGTTGTAACCTCCCTGCCCAGCTGGGCGGTGATGCTCGCCTGGCTCCCACATCCTCTGCGCTGCCCTCTATTTTGGGTCACCCTGACTTGGTCTGTTTCCTGTCTTATTCACCCAGCTAAACTATAATTTCCTTAAGGGTACTTTTATTTGTGGGCCCAGCACTCCGTACTATGCAGGGGCCCATCTAGGATTCTTTATTGAATGATAAGGTTTTTGTAGAAAGTTGGCCTTATGACAACCGTTGACAAAAGCAAGTGGCTACTCAACCACCCCAACCCCTCCCCACCCCTCACCACCGTACAATGGATTTTATTACAGATTGCATACATGAGGGAGTTCTAATCTGATGTGAAGGAATTATTTTGCCTTTCTTCAGATTCATTCCATGACATCAAGTTCATTTGAAATTGCATAACATCTTCAGGAATTCATTGGCAGGCTGCCTGGCAGTTGGATAATCATTTAATATATCTTTCTCTCTCCTCAGGTAACAATGACATGATGGTCACTGACAACAATGGTGCAGTCAAGTTTCCACAACTGTGTAAATTTTGTGATGTGAGATTTTCCACCTGTGACAACCAGAAATCCTGCCTGAGCAACTGCAGCATCACCTCCATCTGTGAAAAGCCACAGGAAGTCTGTGTGGCTGTATGGTAAGAGAGCCTTTTAAGAAGTTATTCTTTCTTTTCCCCTTTTTACATAATGTATTCTCGTAGTACACACAGTCAGTGTATCTCTGTCCCCTAAGTGTAAACACCTGTTCCATTTCCCTTTCCTTTAGACCATCTCTCTTTCGATTATTAAATGTAGTTTCTAGGGTGTTCTCTGCATGTACGTGTACATTTATGTGGGTATGTCATGGTATATAAAACTATCTTTAATATAGTAAATCTGGAAACTCTTTCTTGTATCAAGAAGAGGGATTTGCCACTTAGTAGGCATTTAACCGACACCTCCTCAGTACCCCACAGTGAGACCAGGAGCTTTGTTCTCGTGAGGCAATCTCAGGTCTGGAAGAAGACGTGACGAAAGGTTGGCTGTTGGAAAAGACAACCACCTGCCAAAAATGGGGAATCTACGTGGAGAACCAGAAAAACAACCTATTTTTTTAGTCAGAAATCCTGGTTATATCATTCATATAACCATTGGGCTAGGTATGACTTATTTCTCGGCTCAGAACTACATATTTCTTTTTTTTTTTTTTTTTTTGAGATGGAGTCTTGCTCTGTCACCCAGGCTGGAGTGCAGTGGCACATTCTTGGCTCACCACAACCTCCACCTCCCAGGTTCAAGTGATTCTCCTGCGTCAGCCTCTCAAGTAGCTGGGATTACAGATGCCCGCTACCACGCCTGGCTAATTTTTGGATTTTGGGTAGAGACGGGGTTTCACCATGTTGGCCAGGCTGGTCTCGAACTCCCAACCTCAGGTGATCCGCTCGCCTCTGCCTCCCAAAGTGCTGGGATTACAGGCATGAGCCACCATGCCCGACCAGAACTATATATTTTTATTGGATCACATTTTCTACTCCTCTCTCTCTCTCTCTCATTACCTCCAACTCATATACACATCTCAAATAGTAATTATACATACACAGTGGATACTCATGAATCATCTGATTAATTCATGATTATAGATTGTGAGCATGAACAAGAAATAAACAACCTTGATCTTTAGAAGAGTTGCAATTTTGCAAAAGTACATAAATTCATTAATGAGATATGACATTTTGCAGACTTTTTCTGATGTTTTTAATTTATTGGCCATTTTTTAAAAAGTAACTTATGTGGCTCCTGGTTAGTTGACAAACAAGAATGTAAACCCAAATATCTCTCCCCCTTTTTTGGGAATAAGTCATTTGAGACCCCCAGACCTTGTAAAGCTAGCCTTGATGATAGATTTGGAAACTTTACAAATTTCTGTACATACCAGGGGATGAACTGATTCTTAAGAAAAACTGAAGGAATGTTAACAGCAAAGACCTGTCATGACGTACTTGCCAATATGATGTGATACCTGTCCATGTCCACTTCTAGGTAGTGCTTTCAGAGAAAGGATTTGGACAAAGAGTGTGTTCAGAGGAGAGGGACCAGTGTGGTTAGAGGCCCAGATATCATGCTGTCTGAGGAATGGCCTGGGCAATTAGACGTGGTTAGTGCAGTGAAGAGAGATCATGGGTTCTGCTGATGAAATTGAAAGGTTCTCAGGTAGAAAATCTAATAAACATATTCTGCATAACTCTGAAAGGTAGAGGGAGGATCCATAACATTGGCAAGAGGGCAGACTTGCGCTCAGCATAAGTTCAGACATTTTCACAATCATGGTTTCCCAACAGCAGAACAGGCTTCCTTTTCTGTAAGCACCAAGTGAAGTTCAGGAGAGGCTGGATGACCATGTGTCAAATAGAATGCAGGAAAGATTGAGACACCAGACTAGATGGCCTCAAAGCTTCCTTCCGTGGTTTCTCAAATATCTACGGTGGTGTGAGCGCTTACTTCTGCCACCCAAAAAGGCTCTTTTAATTAAGATTTTTGTTTTTCTGACCAGTAATACAAGCCCAAATCATTGAATGTGAATCAAGTCTCTCTACAATAGAGGCTTTGCTAGCCTCAAAAAAATGTGAGCGTGTCGAAGAGAGGAGGCCTCCCTGTTTTTTCTGTGTCCCAGCTATAAAGGATAAATACAGTGAACATTATTTTGACCTGTCTTGGCCAAAGAAAGTTCTCCCGTGAAGCCAGGGCTGTTGCTAATGAGAAGGAGAAGTGTAAGGGATGCTATAGTGCCCTCCTTGATCCTCCTTCATGACCAAGGCACTCACTCCCTGGGAGTGTTGGCTGTTGAAGGTTCACTGCTGAGTCTTCCCTCCAGTGATGGGAGCTGCTTCATTCACGCTGGACACTTTTCATGGGTATCCAGCATCCCACGGCTAGTTGATGCAGAGAAACACATTCCTGGTTATTTTGCCGTAAGGTGGGACATCTTTGAAGGACCATCTCACGTTCAGAGCTTCCAAGGCATTCACTGAGGCCTTTGCTGCAACCTGCATTATGGTTTAGCTTTTTCCTTCTGTGCAATACTGCTGCCTTTAGTCCCTTACAGATGCATTTCCAAAAATCTCCTGCTCAGAACTCACAGCCTCAGGGTCTGTTTCCAGGAAACCTAAACTAAGACAGGAGGCTACTGTAAAAATAGCCAGTGTGGAAACCGAAAGGCTCTACTATGATTGTAGATTTCAGTGGGGTTTTTTTTTTTTGATCAGTGTTAGTGTTTTTTTATTCATTCATTCATTCATTCATTCATTCATTCATTTAACTAATGTCAGTTGTGTGCCCATTCCATGTAAAATGCTTAAGCTTCTTCCAAGGATAGAAATATTTTATAACCAAAGTTATTATTATTATTATTATTATTATTATTGAGAGGGGGTCTCCCACTGTTGCCCTGACTGGAGTACAATAGCGTGATCTTGGCTCACAGCAACATCCGCCTTGTGGGTTCATGCGATTCTCCTGCCTCAGCTTCCCAAGTAGCTGGGATTACAGGCGCACACCACTATCACTCGGCTAATTTTTTTGTATTTTTAGTAGAGATGGGGTTTCACTGTGTTGGCCAGGCTGGTCTCCAACTCCTGACTGTGTGATCCACCTGCCTCGGCCTCCCAAAGTACTGTGATTACAGGCATGAGCCACCATGCTCAGCCTCCAAAATTAATTTTATCATGTTGGTTCTTCTTTCAGTAGAAATTGATAACCTCTTCAATGGCTAAGAGTAAATGTTGTGGGACAAAAAAAGTCCGTATTTACTTCTTTGTGTTTACCTTTCCTATGCTCAGCTGTATCCAAAAAGGGTTTGAAAAGTTAGCTGTGCCTGGCTGTTACAGGAGTGAGTGGAGAAGGCAGTTAAGGACTTTACTGGGTCTCAAGTGTTACAGTTGTTTTCTCTCTGTGATTTTAGTTCTCTAAGTAGCTAAGACGTGGAAAACCAGAGGCTCTGGAAGAGCTGCCCAATAATTATAGAGCAGCTTTCTTTCATGGCTCACGGTTCCTTCTTTGGCCTCTATAAGCATCATAAGGAAGAGGGACCATAACTTTCCCTGGGCACAGTGTACCTTCATTCTTCATTTTATTACCAAAACCAAAAACAACCTACACACACACACACACACACACACACACACACACACAAAAACTGTGGGGACAGGGAGGAAGGTATTCTTGTTCCATGACTACAGCTGATTTGAAGACTGCCCAGTAGCTTTGGGGTTTAGGATGGGTAGATTTCTAAATATACGTGATTTGTTGTTTGATTATGCCAACTTTCATGTAGTTTCATTTGGTGTCCTGATAGCCACCCTCAAGCAATTATTCTGCTTGTCACTCTTCCTGTCACAGCGGGGACCAACTTAGCAAAGCCTTGCTCCTCTTGTGTCTTTTGGAATTCTAGTTGAAGAGCCCTTGAGCCCCTTCACAAGCAAACACATGTACCTCCACTAGAGTCAACTCTGGGCTGCATGAATGTCAACACTGGCACCATTCCTGCCTGGGCTGTCCTCACCCATACCCTTGCCTGTATCTCTTTGTCAACAGATTGTCCTTTAGTGTCTTTGACTTAAGCACTAAAAAGGAGGTATTGGTCAAAGTTGCTCTTTCTCTTATGGGGATGGCCCCACATCTTTTATAGGTGCAAGCTGTGTCTTAGCTGCTTCTTGCTTCTAGCCTGCCTTCCATTTTCCTTGCTGTGAGTAGTGAGCCTTTGTACATGGGGCAGGGAGGATTAGGGGAAAATTGGTGAGCGAGTACATGCTCGCATTGGCTCATGTGTGCACTCAGGATCTTCATAGACGATTACTGTAGCAAAACTGACTGGTCCACATTAGCCCTTCCTTCCGCTCCCTCTCTAGACAGAGAGAATGCAATTCAAGACAGCAGGTATTTTGCATCTAAAAAGGACAGAGGTGAAAGGGAGGATGTCAGATTAACCTTGTTGGACAGTCATCCAAGATAGTATGTTCATGAGGGAGCAGAGGGAACTGGATAGAGAGGTGATGCCCTTTTCCAAGAGAGCCAAAGTGTTCTTTTGTTCAATCATAATAGTGGGCATTAATCATGTTGTTTAAAAATCTAATGTACCCTGAGAGCCAACTGAGCATTTCCTAGGACCCAGGGAAAATTCTGTGTGAGAAATTCTCTGAGCCCTGGGCTAAATTAGTCTTCAAATATGTGCTATGAAGGGATACTAAGTGTAAAAGTAGTTAGTTTATGACAGCATAAAATATTTCATTGAACTGTAAATGAAGAACACCCTGAAATCCTTTTCCGTTTAATGTATTTATTTATTTATTTATTTATTTTTCTGAATTGCTCCTTTCTGTAATTTGGGAAAGACTGCAATTCTTCATCTGGAATGTTTCTTCCCGTTTTTCTCAGCAGAACCAGCTGTTGACAAGGAGTATACCCTTTACACGCAATGCTCTGGGGCCCAGCAAACAAAAAAAGAGGAACTGTGACTATTTCCCCAGGCATGCTCTTTGAAAACAGTATAGCTAGACAGGACAGATTTTGCCAGTTAAACTAGGGGTGTGATGTGAGGTTTGCATTACATTCAGGATGGAAGATTTAAAATTATCCTGAGTACCTAGGAATGTTCTTTTTTTCCATGTCTTCCCCTTTAATGATTTAATTAAGACTTAAGTGTGTAAAATTCTCCACCAGGACTGCCCCCATGGAACGCTGTCTGCTCCAGGTGATGTTTATAACCACAAATGGGTTCCAAGAATAAACAAAGGAAAAACAGAAAAAGGTAGAAAAACGTAGGAGACTATAGGACAGCCTGCGAATGCTGGAGAACAGGAACCAGCTGCCGTTGTTAGGAACAACTTCATGAAGGAAAAGTATTCCAGATTGCCTTTCTGACTGGAGGCCAAATTATTCATTTATTCTCTTTCTCTTTCTCTCTCTCCCTCTCCCCTTGCTTCCAATGAATCTCTGCACTCTAGGAGAAAGAATGACGAGAACATAACACTAGAGACAGTTTGCCATGATCCCAAGCTCCCCTACCATGACTTTATTCTGGAAGATGCTGCTTCTCCAAAGTGCATTATGAAGGAAAAAAAAAAGCCTGGTGAGACTTTCTTCATGTGTTCCTGTAGCTCTGATGAGTGCAATGACAACATCATCTTCTCAGAAGGTGAGTTTTCTTCTCTTAAGGGTCTGGGATCTGACATCTGTGCCAATGTTTTGCATCCTTGGTCTACAGTGTCATAGAGCGTGTTCCTTCTGTGGTGGATTCCATACAGTGGATTAGGAGCCCATTCAGCTGGTGGAAAGATGGGCTTAGGGAGTAGCAGGGTTTGTTCTGGTTCTCATCAAATATGGTTGACTGGGGCTAACATTATTATTTGTCTTTGACAAATAGTTTCTTTCACCTAGAGCAGTGGTTCTCGAAGTGCAGCCCCTTGAGCAGCCAGCATGAGTATCACCTGGGAACCTGTTATAAATGCAGATTCTCAGGCCCCACTAAATCAGAAACGTAGGGGGTGAATCACAGCTATCTGTATTTTAACAAGCCCTCCCAGTAATTTGGTGCAGCTAAAATTTGGTAATCATTGTTCTAAAGATTTGGATGGGGTTGTTTAATCTTCGAGGAGGACTTTCTTTATAACTGACGTTGTTTCTTGTACATAGTCCCAGGATTTGTCTTTAGGGTACTTGTCATCGATCCCATATGAGAGAAAAATTGAAATACAGAGAGGAAATAATGAGCTTACTCTTGGATAAAGGGTAAAATAAAAAGTTTACCCTTGAAGCCAGGAGAAGATTAGATACTAGCCTTCATCTTTGAAGTTCAGCGTTTACTCGGCTTGAAAGGAAGGCATAGACTATTCCCTCAATTTTTAATAAGAAGAGTATTCACTGGCTTAATTATAAAAGTATTATATGCTCTTCATCAAAAATTTCAAACAATCCAACAGTGTGTGAAATCGAGACCATCCTGGCTAACACGGTGAAACCCCATCTCTACTAAAAAATACAAAAAAAACTAGCCGGGCGAGGTGGCGGACGCCTGTAGTCCCAGCTACTCGGGAGGCTGAGGCAGGAGAATGGCGTAAACCTGGGAGGCGGAGCTTGCAGTGAGCTGAGATCTGGCCACTGCACTCCAGCCTGGGCGACAGAGCAAGACTCTGTCTCACAAAAAAAAAAAAAAAAATGAAAGTACATTTCCCTCATCCCCTCACTCCCACTGCAACAGATCATCTGTATTGACAATGTACTAGATGCACACATGTCTCTGTCATTCATTCATATTATCTTCCACTCTGTCCTCTCTCCCAATCACTCCCTCTCTTCCTTTCTCCTTCCCTGCTTTCATCCATCTGTCCATCCTTCCATCCATTCCATCCAGTCATCCATCTTTCAGTGCAACTATTTGATCATACTATATTATTTTGCAACGTTTTTTAGACCCAACCACTTTTACAATTCCTTCTAAACAAGATAGAACACATAGATATACTGTATATCTTTTAATTTAGTCTCAAATGTCATATTATCTCCCATGGTGGATCTTACCATGTCTCTGTTGATGGATTATCTTCCGTTTTTCCACTTAATGCTACATTGAATAGCTTTGTAAAAATATCTCATGCATTTGTGCTAATATTTCTGCAAAGCAGATTGCCAGAAGTGAAATCTCTAGATTACAAGTATGTGTATTTTAAATTTGAATAAGCACTACTAAACTATTCTCCTCCCAAAAAGGATGTGAACATACGGATTTCCATGTACCTTCTCCAGCACTGGGGATGGATAAGTCTTTCCATTTTTACCGACGTGATAGTGTAAATAAATATTAATAGTACTCTCATGGTTCTAGGAATGTAAATTCAGGGAAGGGAAAGGTTAGTTTAGTCAACAATAGGTCTGATTTAATGAAAAAATCTTTTTGAAACACAAGTGCTGGCTCTACTCCCTATCTCTGTGTCCGTGTGCATTCCACTTGGGAGAAGAGATGTGTCCTCGTGTTTCGTGTTTGGTGCTCAGTAGCACTGCAGATCCAGCTTGTGCTCTTCCTGTGTCCTTCACCTACTGCCATTCTCCCTCTCTTCCTGTCCAGCTTCCCCCAGGCCAACTTCCCAGTGAACTGAAGGCAGGCATGCACATCTTGTCAGGGCAACACTTTCCAGGTTACTCTTCCTTCCTATGTTCTTGTCCTATAAATGGTCCATTTCTCTCCTTTTCTTTTATTTTAAGACGGAGTCTCACTCTGTCACCCAGGCTATAGTGCAATGGTGCAATCTTGGCTCACTGCAACCTCTGCCTCCCAGGTTCAAGTGATCCTCCTGCCTCAGCCTCCTGATTAGCTGAGACTGCAGGGTGTGCCACCATGCCCAGCTAATTTTTGTATTTTTAGTCGAGACAGGTTTCACCATGTTGGTCAAGCTGGTCTCGAACTCCTAACTTCAGGTGGTCTACCCGCCTTGGACTCCCAAAGTGCTAGAATTACAGGCATGAGCCACTGTGCCTGGCCTCATGTTCTTTATGTGATTTGAGTTAGGACGGAAATCTAAATAGATTAAATCACACGAAACATGGTAGCACCTGATATTCTGACTTACCACGTCAGCTTTCTTCAAGTAGTTCACCTTTTAAAAGAAGGCCTAGCCTAAGCCAAAGGAATTAATCTCTAATAGCAGAATACCCAGGCACGTTTACTGGCATTGAAGAAACTTTTCTCTCCTTTTGTATACTGGCTTTTCTACAGTAGACAAGTTTATTTCCTCCAAAAGGACAAAAGTTGGTAAATGGCCTACAAGTTGGATCTATATTTTATTATTGAATATCTTTGTCAAAATATCTCATGTGTTTTATATTTTACTATAAGCCTTGTAGATATTAATGACTTCCATTTTCAGAGTATTTCAACTCAGGTGATTATCATGGGCATCCCTCGTATTTTTCCTCTTACTCTCAGACTTTCTTATGAAGTGAGATAATAAGCATAAAGACAGTTTCTCACTGTACAGTACAGGAAGCCTTTCACAGCTGATGACTCAAATGTCTGAGTGATTTCAGAGTCTTCTAAAATGCTTCAGGAGGTGGGGGGCGGGGGCGGTGTTTGCTTTTTAAGCATCTCTCTTCTCTGTGGTGGGGTATTTCTTCCACCTCAAACAGCAGACATTAGGAGCAACATTTTGTATTCCATTTCTCCTCTTATTGCCACCATCTCTTCTTTATATTGAGGAATGAAAACGGTGGTTTTTTTTGTTTTTTTGTTTTTTTGTTTTTTTCTTGAGACAGAGTCTCACTCTGTCACCGAGGCTGGAGTGCAATGGTGCAATCTTGGCTCACTGCAACTTCCGCCTCCTGGGTTCAAGCGATTCTCTTGCCTCAGCCTCTCGAGTAGCTGGGATTGCAGGCGTCTGCCACCACGCCTGTCTCATTTTTGTATTTTTAGTAGAGACAGGGTTTCAACATGTTGGTCAGGCTGGTTGCAAACTCTTGACCTCAGATGATCCATCTGCCTTAGCCTCCCAAAGTGCTGGGATTATAGGCGTGAGCCACCACACCTGGCCGGAATGAAAACTCTTAATGTTGATTTCTCTACTCCAAGTCCAACAAGGTAGTGAACACAAAAGCTATGACGTGCACTGTGTCTATATTATTAGTAGTACAGTACTCTTGCTGGCAAGTTCCTGATCTGCATCTACACAATGGATGATAATTATGTACATCTACCTTTTTTAATATGTAAGAAAAAAAAGGTTGAGCCACAAGATTTTGTTTTAAAGTATGGATCTTTATTTCTAGTGATATTATCAATGATAGTTAATATTCAGAGAAAACATGCTGTTGCTATGCAGAGAGCTCAGCCCTTTCCAAGCATGACCTCATTTCATCTCATAGCCACCCCATGCGGGTAGGCACTGTTAATATCCCTATTTATGCACGAGAAAACCAGGCCTGGAGAAATTTAACACTTTGTCTATGATCGAACAATGAGTGAGTATCAAAGCTAGTTCTTCAGAGGACTGAGGTCATGGTTTTTAGAATGAAAGAGTTAAAGAAACTTTGCTGTTTTTTTCTTTAAACCGGGTACCTACCCTTAACCCTGGAATCCCTCCGTGGGGGCTAGTGCCAGTTCCCGTGCCTTCCTACAGTGACCAAGGGCAGGCATGAGTCAAGAAACAACTAGAATGGGGCTGGATCTGCACTGCACAACTGTTCTCTCATATTCATGCTTCCCTCCCAGTCTCTGAGGATTCCCTCCTGCCAAAACATTTTGTGTAGAATTCCAAGGAAATCAGAGTCTATCCCTGTACTAACCAACATATAAAATTCCAATTAGAAGAGAAGTTGTTTGGATTGGTCATGATGGATGGCCTGGTGACAGCTGTCAGTCAGATGAGACCTGATGGGCACCAGGACTGAAAGCAGCACAGGAGGTAGGAGAGGAAGGAATCCTGAGCAAATAGCCACCCTATTTACTTGCAGATGACATCCCCACTTTGCAAAGACATGATGTGGTTATTGATCTCTCACTGAACCTGTAAGAATCGAACACAGCAACTCAGTTTTTTTCATTTCATAAATGGTTTCCAAGTGCAGTGAGACATTTAATTTGCAGAACACTGAGCGAAGACGTGATTTCTGCTGGTTTAGGTAAGAGAGAAGCAGTCTAGTGTCATACTCAAGAATGAGCCAGATCTTCTGGATTTAAGGCTTATTCTACAACTTATTAGTTCTGCTATGTTGGGCCAGTGACTTGACATCTCCATGCTTCAGTCTCTTCATCTGTAAAATGGAAATCCAAAGCAGGTGTGAGGTGTTGTGAGGATTGAGAAGATTAATGCATGTAAATTGCTTGCTACATTGCCTGACATGTCACTGTAAGCTGTTAGCAGTAGTTGGGTTTTTTATAGAGGGCTGGTGACTTGTGCTTGTATGAATGCAGGAAACCAGGCCTGTGTAGCCTTAGGTCTGTTCTCACACTGAGGTTTTGTAGTTGAGTGCTGACTGTGGTGCATAAACGGAGCATTCGGATACCTACACATCACACCACAAGGTTTTGGAGGGGCTCACTCTGCTTTAATCCCTGTTTCATCCAGTTTCTCTTTTTCTCCACATGCCTTCACAGAGGCAAGGGGAGCATGCTGAGTCTAGAATTTCTAATCAAAGCTAACCACATCC